GGAGAAAGATGAGGCTTTCTGCTCCTGTAAAGATTTACAGCCTCAGAAACCCTGTACAGGGTCGCTATGAGTCGGAACCGGCTCCACGGCACATAACCACAATAATGCAGGTAGAGCTGTTCACGTCATTAAGGAAGGTGGTCCAAGTGGAAGTCGGTCCAAGTGGAAGACACACACCTGATAGACAGATGCTCAGCTTCAGTGTTCCTCAAAGGATGCCATGGTGGTGCAGCGGTTAAGCACTCATCCAGCGGCTCCACAGGAGAGAGACCTGACAATATGCTTCTGTAAGGAGGACAGCCTAGGAAACCTATGAGGGCAGTTCTAATGTTATACGGGGTCACCGAGAGTCAAAATGGACTCAGTAGCAAGTGATAACAACATGTATATAACAAGGTATTAGTGATTCAGCGGTAGAACTCTTGCCTCCCATGGGGAAACCTGGATTTAATTTTTCTGCCAGTGTATCTCATCTTTAGCCATTCTGGCATTATCAGTATGAACTAAGCTGAACTAGGAAGAAAGATCTGGCTGTCTACTTCTGAAAATCAGGTAATGCAAACTCTAGGGATCACAGTGCAACACTGTCTGATGCACACACAATCCTTAGAATGGTGCAGGACCGGGAAACATTGTGTTCTATTACATTGTCCATGGGCCTGCCATAAGTCAGGACTGATTCAAACTAACAACTGCATCTATATGAAACATTGCTAACAATTTTGTTGTTTGTTTTTCAAGTGGGGTAGAGTTAGAGGAAGACCCCCCCAACGACATGGATCAACCAGGTGGCATCGTTGATGGATTCAAGTGTGGCAGCGGTAGTGAGGTTGGCTCAGGATCGAACATTATTTCATTCTGCTGTGCATGGGGTCGCTATGAGTCGGTTCCGACTCGATGGCACATGACAACAACAACAACAACAACAGAGTTCCAACTGGCCCTGTGAGAATGAGAAAGGGTCTACAAGTAGCAATAAGGCAAAGAAAGTAATGGAGTAATCACCCTGCTAAGAATCCATTGCATTGGGGAAGAATTATGCACAACACCTCCCACTCGCTTGTGTTAACTCTTTTCCTTCTCTGACCTGGACATGTTCCATTCAAGCATCTGTAAATACTCATGGTAGTGAGGAGAACTGTGGAGGTAACCTTTATTTCCAGACACTGAAATGTCTTTTCTTGTGTGGGTTGAAGGGAGAAAATTGGACTGTCATGGACATTTTAGTGAACTATGGATATAGGTGGGAGTCTTGGTGTGGCACTGTGGGTTAATACGCCAGACTGCAAAATTGTTTGAATCACAAGGTTAACGGTTCAAACTCACCAGTCACTCCTTGGAAACCCTACACAGGGTTGCTATGGGTCGGAAACGACTCGACGGCACTTAACAACAACAACAAATGGATATGGGTACAGAAAAACTATACTTCAGGAGATTCATCTAGCGGGCAGGAGCAGCGTAGCTACTCACCGTCAACATAGAGACTGTTCCTGTCCAGGCTGTAGGGGCCCAGTTGGGTGATGCCCTGGGTCAGCTGGCTCAGCTCCCAGTACAGCTGCTCTCTGTCCAGCCGGAAGTCTGTAGGGTTTGGATGGTAGGTGCAGATTGCATCCATTCTGGTACTTGCCCTGTAGTTTTCAGCCCTGGGGAGGGAGGGACACAGACATGGGGACATACAGAGAAATTAGAGTTGGTTACTCTTTTTTTTTGTTTTTAAGTTTTTATTGTGAATTGAGTGATAGTTTACATGGGAGAACATTGGTTTTACACTCATTGTTTCGTTGCAATGTTTAATCTCTTCTGTGCATCATCATTCAACAGTGTTTGTTTCCATTCCCTCTGTTGGGGGGGACGTACACAAAACACTCAGGAATATATAATCATTTAAACAACTATAGGGCACATTCTGCCAGCCTGCCTCCTGGCCACCAGCACACAGCCTTTCTCTTTCCATGAGTCTAGAGCCCTCAGCTGCTCCCTCTCTCCATGTTATCACCTCTACCCCCATCTCTGGTGTCGCTGCTTCTCTGGATTGTTGTTGTTGTTAAGTGCCATTGAGTCAATTCCTACCCATAGTGACCCTGTATAGGGTTTCCAAGGAGCAGCTGGTGAGCTTGAACCACAGACCTTGCATTTCAAACAACTTTGCAGTCTGACACATTCTCTGGATAGGGTCCCACATTCCGCTTGTCCTCTGTTCCTGAACTGTAAGAATAACTACTGAGTTGGTTACTCTTGAAAGGTCATTCTTTTCACTGACCCCCTTGGGTTTTTATGCCAGCGCTGTACCCTGGGTTTCATCTGCTTTTCCAGACACATCACCCTGAGTCCCATTGAGGGTTCCAGACATTCCTGTTAAAGGTTGTGTTCACAAGGGCTACTCTCTTGTACTCTTAAAAAAATGTTTTATTTTTGTTGTTGGTAATACACACAGCAAAACATACACCAATTCAACAGCTTGTACATGTACAATTCAGGGACCCCGATGACATTCTTTGAGCTAAGCAACATTCTCACTTTCCTTTTCGGAGTGGTCCTTCCCGCACTGACATACATCACTGACCTCTGAGGTTTCTAAGTTTTTGAGTTGCTGGTGTCAGTTTGATTCTTTTTCTTCTAGTTGCTAAGTGCTGTCGAGTTGGTTCTGCTGCATAGTGACCCTGTATAGGGTTTCCGAGGAGCAGCTAGTGAGCTTGAACTATTGACCTTGTGGTTCAAACCAACTTTGTAGTCCAGTGCATTAACCTGTAGCGCCACACTAGGACTCCACAGATAGATTTTAAGACAGCATAATACTTTAGGCACACATTCTTTAGTAGTTAACCTAAGCTAATTTTATTTTTTTT